CGCCGCCGCCGCCGCCACGGAGGAGCCGCCGGGCGAGGAGGAGGCGGTGGCTGAGGGGGCCGCCCGCCGCCGCGGCAGCCGCGACGGCGGTGTGATGGCATTTAGACGAACCTCGCGGCAGCTGGGACCAAAGGGAAGCCTGGCGCTGAGGCGGCGGAGGCCAGCCCTGCGGCGGAGGCAGCCCAGGCTGCTGTCGGTGTGTCGGCGCAGGACGCCGCGGCCGTGCCCGAGCCCGCCGCCGAGGCTGCAGCCGCTGAGCCTGAGAAGCCGCCAGCCAGCCGCACGCCAGAGCCGGCGCCGGCGCCCGGCAGCCCCTCCCACTCCGGCGCCGCGGCGCTGCTGCCCGGCAGCCCGCGCCCGCCGCTGCGCCTGTCGGACAACAGCTTCAGCCGGCGGCGCAGCGGGCGCAGCGCGGGCGCGCGCAGCGCCGCCAGCAGCTCCGACGGAGAGGCCGCCAGCGCGGGCGGCTCCCCGACCGCGCTGAGCCCCCTGGCGCCGGCGCAGCAGCCCGGGGGCGACGGCTGCGGCGCTGGCAAGCCCGCGTCGCCGGCGGTGGGGGACGCGGGGGCGGGCCAAGAGTCGGGCGAGGAATCGCCGGCCATGACCGTGCTGCCGCCGATCGCTGAGGAGCCGGTAGAGGGTGGCGGCCTGTCGCGTACCACATCCAAGGGCCGCCCCAGGGGCTCCTCAGCGGCCTCTGCCGCCAGCAGCGCCGGAAAGGCCGCACCACCCAAGAAGGCGGCACCCGCGGCACCCGCCGGCAAGGCGAAGAAAGGGGGTCCCGCTGCGGGTCCCCGCACCGGCGGCAAGTAGCAAGCCGGGTGTGCCCCCTGGCAGGGATGCAGGCAGAGCAGTTAGGATGAGCAAGGCGTGTGGCGCGGCTGCAACTGAGGTTTGGCATCCCGCCCCCATCTTCCTACAATAAAAACAAGACGCATAACGCAGCACCTCTACTTTTTTCATATATTTCTTGCCAGTTGCTCATCCGCCAAACCGCTTCTGCATCCACCAGCCTGTTGCGTTGCGCGGCAGCGATTCTGTTACAATCCTGGGCGGCCAAGGATGGTGGTGGTGGTGGTGGTGGTGGTACAATAGAGAAACAATAATGGGGAGTGTGCAGCAAGCAGGTTCGGCTGCACTGGGGGCAAGCCTGCCGCTGGTGGCAGCTGCATGCTGCATGCAGGCCACCCCGCTGCCTTATACCACCATGCCAGCCGGGGCCGGAATCTCATCCCAGAACACTGCAGGGCAGAGGCAGGCGGCGGCAGGGCTTTCACCTGCTTGCCGCAAGAGGAAGAAAGAAAGAGAGGAAGGCAGAGCGGCTTGGCCCCTCTCCTGGTTCTAGGTGCGCAAGCAATGGAAGGACCGACGCAGCCCAGCCCAGCGCAGCGCAGCGCAGCGGTCCCCCAAGGCTGGAAGGGCCACCGGAGAGCGCAGCGCCCGCCAGCCCAAACCCTGCAACGCTCGCCTGGGTGCTCCTCCGGCGTGATGAGCCGCCGCGTCGCCCCCTCCTTGCTCACCGTCACCAGCCTGCGGCGCAGCAGCGGCGGCGGCGCGGGCACAGGCGGCAGCGGGGCGGGGGGGAGGCAGTCGCGGCGCCGCGGCGCGTGCGGCAGCAGCGGCTGGACGCCGGGGGCCCCAAGACCCGGGCCGGGCGGAGGCTCCAAGCCAGGGGTACTGACCGGCCTCGCAGTGGATGGCTGAGGGTGGCGGGGGCTGTGGTAGGGCGCAGGGTGGGGGCGGCACCCCCTACGTCCCGACCCCACCCCATCCGACCACACCCCAACATGGGCCTCACCTGATGACGCCTCCCGACGATCCGTCCCGCGACATGGCCAGCGCCAGCGCCATCGCCACCAAGTCCTCGGCATCCTGCCGGCCCATGCCGTCCCTGCAGCGGCGCGGTGTGTATGCGTGCGCAGGTAGGTGTGTGCCTGTGCTTGTGCTTGTGAACGGGCGGGGCGAGTTGGGGCATGCATGCGGCGGCATCCGAGGGGGCGGGGTGCTGGCTGCAAGGGTGCAGCGCGTAAATGGGGCGGGCGGTTCCCTGCTGCCCCAGCGGGCGCAGCACCCAGCTGAGTGCTCCACCCGGCAGCAGCCCAGGGCGGCACGGGTGTGGCGTGTGAGCGAGGCGGGCGTTCCCTTGCGAGGGCCCAGGTGCCCTCACTTGAACTCCGAGTCCAGGAAGCCCCAGATGAAGGTGGAGCCGGAGCCATCGGTGGTCCAGGGCTCGCGGCTGATGGTGCCGCCGATGGGGCAGCCGTACACCTGGCAGGGGAGCAAGGGCACAGGGGAGGGGCGCAGGGAGAGGGGGTATAGTCAGTCAGTCAGTCAGGCAGGCAGGTGGGCAGGCGGGCAGAGCATGAAAGCGGGGACCAGGCAGGCTATTGTGGGGGCAGGGAGGCACCCGGGCAAGCAGGCAGGCAGGCAGGCGGGGTGGCAGGCGCGCAGGCAGCAGCCGCCGAGGAGGCGGCAGTGCACGCGCCAGCGCCAGCCCGCCGGCAGCGCCGGCAGCTGCGCGGCGGCGGGGCCGGGTAGGCGGGGCCAGCAGGCGCCACCCAGCCACCCACCTGGCCGCCCTCGTCTTCGTCCCATCCCGCCACTATCATCGCCCCCACCAGGTGCTTGTACTGATAATTCATCTGCACCGCAGGCGGCAGGGGCGCCACAGCAGCGTGAGCCTCCGCCTGTGCAGAGAGCGCCGCAGGGCGACTCGCTGCGACACCCATGCAGCGCCGCCCGCCGCCGTGCTCGGTATCGGCAGGGCGCGTCGCACGCGGCGGGCGGCGCAGCTGCCGGCGGTGCCGCCCCCCGCAGGCAGCGCCGTGCTGCCGTTGTGCGCCGAGCGGCGCCGCGGCGCCGCAGCCACCCACCTCTCGGACTAGCTGCGCCACTGTGCGCACCCCCGGCGTGCGCTGCAGCTGCATCTCGTGCTGCTCAGTGAAGTATCGTACTGCGGCAGGAGGGAGCGGTTACGGCGGGGGGCGGGGATGGTGCGGGGTGGCAGACAACTGGCACCACAAGGCAGAGGGCCGGACAGGGGTCCGCGGTGGGCGCAAGATGGGTCGGTGGGTGGGAGATTGTGCAGCCGTGCAGGCCGGCACCAGGCCGGCAGGCCTGCGCAGCAGCCCTGCTGCGCCTCTGCCCCGGCTCCCGCGCCCCAGCGCTCACGCCATCCGCGGCGAGGCGCCGCCCGGTGCCCCGCTGGCGTGCAGGCAGGCTGGCTGGCTGGCTGGCCCACCGTAGTCTGCCACCGCTTGTGTGTCTGCCGCCGACCCGGAGCGCAGCAGGTACACGTTGTCTGCCAGCGGGGTGATCTTGTCGGAGGCTCGGTTGGAGATGTAGGTGCCTGTGGAGACGCGGGAGTCGGCGCCCACCACCACGCCGCCGTCAAAGCACACCGCCACCACGGTGGTGCCCGTGTGCGGCGGCGCGTCCAGGCTGTGCGGCGAGGGGCCCACGTCCATGGCGGCGGCTGCCCTGCACAGGCCCTGCGCAGGTCAAGGGGCCGGGGCAGGGTGGTGGGCAGGAGGTCAGCAGGCGACGCGGGAGGCGGCGGGCGGCGGCGGGGAGGGGAGGGGCAGTCGGCCTCGCGCTGCGAGCCGGCGGGCCCGCCGTCAATGCTCGGTGGGTGGCTGCCCCCAGCACGCTGTCCCAGCGCCCATCAACGCTCGACGGCTGCGCTGGGATGGCGGAGCCAGCTGCGACCGCTGAACCGCTGGGCTGTCCACCAGTCCGTGGTGTGCCAGTCCCATTCCAGGGCTACACCCCCCCAGGCCACAGGACTCACCGCTCACTAGGCAATCACCGCCCGATCACGAAGCACAGGTTTGGCGGTGTGGAACAGGAGATGAGAGGAGTCAACGACACCAGGGAGAGCAATGAATGCGCCTTTGCTTGGCGGATGTCCCAGCCCATCACAGCGCAGCAGGGCGGGACCCGCAGGCGCCACCGGTGCGCCGCTCAAGTCACGGCCGCTCAACTCAGGCAGTCCAGCAAACCTGCCGCACTGCGAGTGATTCAGTGTGCTCACTTTGCGCAGCGACAATCAGCTTCATCAGAAGGCCAGCATCATACGAGTCTGGCGAAGAGGCAGCGCAAGGCTGCCCCCGCCTCTTGAGCAGACCGGCACACAAATTGGGCATGTGGACCTGCAGGAATTGAAGCGGCAAGCCGAGGGCCCAACATGGCGCGGCGCCGGGGGAAACAACCCCGCTGGTCAGCCATATCCGCAAGCCTGGCGCGCTGGTGGGCGTGATGCCGCTAGCGGCGGTGAGCGCGGTTCAACAGCCCTGAGGTAGCCCCCCAGGACCCCCCACCCAGTCCCCCTTGAACTCCGACTCCCTTGAACTCAATCCCGGTCCTGATGGACCCCACGATGGGAGGCACTTTGAGGCCAGGCAGCACGCGGGTGGTCGCGGGCTCACACCCAGCTGGCAGGCTGCTGTACTTGTTCAGAGCTGATCCCTGATCCAACCTATTTCTTCCTCCTTCTTACTCTCTTCTTCAAGATCCCGCCTCGGGCAGCGCTGCAGCGAGGGTCATGACGCGGCCCCGCTCTCCGTGCAGAGCGCTGGCCGCTGCGGGCCTCATCCTGCTGACTGTCGCGCCCCTGACAGCCGCGCGTGAGGCGCAGCGCCGTTTAAGTGCAGAATGACCGGGCCGCCTGTGCGCTGCCTGTGCGCTGCCGCCGCCCCTGCGTACCGCGCTTCGTGACGGCCCGGCACATGCCCCCTCCCCTTTGGTGCAGAGCGTTGCCAGCAAGGCAATCCTGTGCTCCCCGCGTGCGGCGCAGTCGCGTGCAACACCCTTTTTGAGGGGTCCAACCTGCTGCGCACCGAGTGGCCGGCCAGCGAGGTGCAAGACCCGCAGGTCTGCTACGACCTGTGCCAAATCAACGCCCAGTGCGTGGCCTGGTCTTTCGCGCCCGGCAGCGGCACCCAGGACTCCGTATGCTACTTGAAGAAAGACCTAAAATTTAGGGAGGCCGACTCAAGAGGAGCCACCTCGGCATGGGTTGCTGGTCCAGGTGCGCACCCTCGCCGCTCCCGCCTGAGGCTGCGGCTGTACCGATCCAGCACACGCCCCACGCCCCGCCCGTGCCAAGACCTTCCCTCCATGCCCCACTGCCGCAGAGCCCGAGCCCGACCAACCCCTTCAATGCCCGGCACCTCTACCTCTGTGGGGGGGGCGAGTACTCGGGAACCGTACTCAAGGTGGTGTTCGCGTGGGGCTATGGCGACTGCTGCAACAAATGCAAAGAGACCCCCGAATGCACACGCTTCACCTCACTCGATTATACCTGCACTCTCAAGTCGGGCACAGATTACAAGACGGAGGCGGGCTTTGGCGGCTGGTCGGGGCGGCTGGTCGGGGCAGGTGACAAGATGCCCCCTCCCATGCGCTTCTGGCAGCGGGCGCAGAGGAGGCTGGCCGCCAGCAGCCGCCCGCCGCTTCAGGCGCAATGGATGAACTCATGAGCGATTGCATGACAGCAAGTGCCACGTGCTGTTGGGACACCTGACCCTGTTGCAGACGTGGAGCTGGTGGTCGGTGAGCCACGGCCTGTGCCTCCTGCCTGCCCCAATCCCCAGAGCAACGTGCTAGCTGTCGTCAACAAGTACCGGCAGCGGCACGGGTGGGTGGCACGTCGCTCCCTGCCGCACTTTTTTGCCCACAATTGCCCCAGCATGCCTCCCCCTCCCTTACAGCCCCTGACGGCACCCTGACTTGGTCCCGGTCCGCTCCCTCCCGCCTGCAGCTCCCCAGCCTTGAAGTGGGACAATGCCCTGGCCCAAGCCGCCCAGAAGGAGACGTGCAATGCATGGAGAGGCCGCCCGAAACGTGAATTTTTGCGCCCAGCGCTGCACCGGCTGTGGCAGCCTGCCAGCAGGTGCCTGGCTCTACCCATAGCATTGCTGGTGGAGCCGGGCGCCCGTGCCTGGAACCCAGCATACACAGCAGCCAGCCACCCACCCCATCCGCCCTTCTGAACACATGCTGCAGCGTTGATGGTCGATGGCACGCTGCAGGCCAACTTTGTGAGTGGCTCTGTGTTTCCGGGGTAGCATGGTGCAACGCTTGCTGGCCTGATTGTTTGCCTGGTTGCTTCAGCAATGGCTTGCCTTGGTGCTGGCCAGCTATGTGGCCCTTTTGTGCCCCGTTACCCCGCCATGCCCATGCTCCCTCCTCCCTCAATACACCCATGCACTCCCTCACCGCAGTTTGATGCCGATGCCTCAATCGAGTGGCCGTTTCAGAACACCGGCGACGCGTGCAGCACGGCTGCCACGGCCTGGTACCAGAGAGGCGCGGCGGTGAGGGCAGCTGGGCTGCTGCTGCTGCTGCCACCATGCCCTCCATGTCGTGTGCCATAGTGCCATGCATGCCGTGCCGCCACCTACCGCTCACGTTGCGCTCACTAAGCCTGCGTCACGTCCACTGGGTTCTGCAGCGCTACAGCTTTGCAGCTCCTGGAGCGCAGTGGAAGGCTTGGCAGGCCACTCCGCCAGGGGCAGCTACCATCCTGAGGCAAAGTCGCCGCGGCTTGGAGAGGCCCGCCAGTTTGCGCAGAGTGAGCCAGCCCCTGCTCGCTGGCTGGGCCTGCTGCCGCTACGGCACACATTTTACCTCGATGTTGCATCGCGCACGAGCGGTCGCCCTGCACCTGTGTCTGACCCCATCCCTGTGCATGACGCCCGTGCTGCCACTCTCCCTGCCTTCCACAGTGTTGTGGGCCAAAAACACCAAGATGGGCTGCGGATGGGGCCAGTGCGGTGGCCAGCACCGAGTGTACTGGTGGGTTGGGTTGGCGGTGAATGGCATGGGCTGCACGGCCCTCTCAACATGCTTCAACAGGATGTTGCATCCGCTTCGCCGCCTGAACAGCAGCAGCACCTGCATTGGCAGTGTGCTGCCCAGCAGAACAGCCATGACCCACCTTCGCTCCCCCCCTACGTGCCACCCCCGCTTCCATTGCAGCATCTTTGCACCAGCCACCGCCATCAAGAAGAGCGCCGCGGTGGCCAAGCTGATCAAGAGAACCGCCTGCCAGACGGAATCCAAGAACGACCTCTGCCTCACCTGCCGCACGGGTGCCGGCGGCAAGGCCCGGTGCGCCAAGTGCTTTGACGACGAGTTCCTGAGCTGGGCCAACCCCCAGCCCCGCCTGTTCCCTGATGCCGCCGGCAAGAAGGTGACCGCTGCGCTTGCCCTTGCCATGTGCTGGGGGGATCAAGTGCATGCATCAGCTGTCGTGCCCGTGTGGCGGAGCCCGCCTACAAGTCCCGCCAGCCGTCGGGTCCATCTGGACTGCCACACTCAACTACGCCCTCGTGCCGATCCCTGCCTCCCTGCCCTTGCTGGCTGCAGTGCGTGCTCGCACCTGGCTGCGTGCAGGGCTGCGCAGACTGCCGCGCCAGAGGCAAGTCCTTCACCTGCGCCAAATGCGACAAGTATACCGAACGGGACAAAGCCGGCCAGTGCACGCTGCCCGACTGCGGCGCCGTGTTTGGCGTGGGCTGCATCAAGTGCTTCTGGCATGTCGGCAGCACCTGGAAGAAGGGCTGCACGGCGTGCGCCGTGGGCTTCGTGCTGACCAGAACCGGCTATTGCAAGAAGCTCTGACTCCCGGCGCTGCCAGTCTCCTTGCCCACATGACGCCACACCTCCCCGGCCTGCGCTCACCCAATTGAGCGGCAGTGACACCTACAAAATCTGACCTGCTGACGCATCTGTGTTTCACAGTGTAACTACTCTCTGTGCAGAAAGAACATGGCCTAAAATTTTCGGGGGTTCTGTCACTGTTGCAGGTCACCTGAGCATGTGCCTGCTCATCTCCCGAGTGCCGCCACGTCTGCCGCCATGCCCTGTCCTGTCCAATGGGCTCGGCCGACCAGCTGCGGCGCCCCCCCCCCCCACACAGGCCGTCACATGAACTGAGAGGCGATGCTGGCTGCAGCCTGCAGGAGGCCCACCGCCGCAAGCACCCAGCCCAGCGCCCACAGCGTGCGGTCCCAGGCGCCGGCGCGCTCGCCTCCGCCACCGGCGCGCAGGATGATGAGGCCGGGGAAGGTGAAGGCCATGCAGGAGACTGAAGCAAAGGAGGGTCAAGGGCAAGGCCAAGGGATCGGCAGTGGATGGCAGCCAGGGATGCCTGGTTGGCAGTTGAAGATGCCCGCCGGCATCCCTGGCTGGCAGCAAAACAGCCCAGCTGGAGTGCACAGCTTTGGTCGCGGCACAGGGAGCGGATGTGGCGTCTCCGACTGGCTGGCGCCCACCTGCGGTGCCGCCCAGCAGCTTCAGCGGCTTCCACACAGAGGGCACCACTACCGCCACCAGCGCACAGCCTGCGGGCGTGGGTGGGGTGGGGATGGGCAATGGTGGTGTGATGTGCGGGTGTGGGAGGCGGAGGGGCGCACTGGGCTGTGTGGCAACCAACTTGTGGCAAGCATGCCGCTGCTCGCTGGCAGCAAACTGGCAGCTGGTTGCCTGGGGCTAGCCTGATTGGCAGCGCTGCCCTGAATCGACACCGTTGGCCAGCCTCACCTGCCAGCGAGGCGATGTTGGTGGCAGCAAAGGAGCTGCGGTCCCCCATCCGCTCCTCCGCCGACTGCTCCGGCAGCACGGCCCACAGGTTGCGCTGCAAGACAGGAAAGGGGCGGCAAGGGCAGGCCTGCTGTTGCTGCCTGCAGCCTTGCGCCCAACACATATCGGCCCGCGGAGAGTCGCGGCCCTCACCTGCATGCCCTGACACACAGCCACATCAGCCACCCACATCAGCCAGCCACCCTCTCTCACACACACACCACCACCACCACACACGCACACACAAGCACTTGACCCATCAAACCATCGGATCCCACCTGGTAGGGATAGAGGTACATGGGGAGGCTCAGCTGGCCGTTGACGAGGAAGGAGAGCTTGACGGCACCCGACAGCGCCAGCGCGACGCGGCCGGCCAGCAGCCGGCCCAGCTCCTCGGTACCATAATTGAGCAGCACATCGGGCTGCAAGGCGCAGGGGGAGGCAGCGGGAGTAGGGGAAACATTGGAGAGAAGAGGGGCGCGCGCACGTCGTGGTGGGGAGCGCGAGGAGGCGGGCCGGCGCATCGTCGGCACCGCACCAGGAGGCAGCGGCGCCGTTGTTGCATCCCCAGCCGCCGGGCGCTTCGCAGCGGACTGCCCCAGGCTGCCTTGTCCTTTCTCATGGGGGCGCCACCTGTAGCTGGCTCCCAAACGCGAGGTAGTTGCTGAGGCCGATTGCCAGGAAGACCGAGATGGTGAGCAGGCGGGCGGCGATTTGGGCGGCGTCCAGCAAACCCTGCCGGTACGGCCTCAGCTCGCTCATCTGCGGCACAGGGCGGTACATGGCGGTGGCGTTGGGGCGGCAGGCGCGGGGCAGCCCTGGGAAAGGCAGGCAGGCGCGCCACGGGCGGCAGAGGAGGGGCAGGCAGGCTGGGCACACCAGCGAGCGTGGCGCTCCGTTGGTGGCCCGCAGCTGTTCTGCAGGACCGCGCCGGCTCGCCGCATGCCACCCTAGGGCCTGCCCTGCCGCATGCTCTGCCCGGCCTCACCACAGAGTTGATGTTGTTCTGCGTGAAGGCGGCGCCCATGAGCACCGGGAACACGCTGGCCACCTCGAGGGCCAGGCCCGCCTTGGACTCCGCGCCGGCCTCCTCTGCGGGCGGGTGGCGGGCGGCGGCAGGCACAGCGGCGGGTGGGTGAGCCCAGGCACAGAGGGCTGTGGCGCAGGCGGCCGCCAGCGTCGTGTGTGACTGGGGCAGCAGCAAATGGGCACGCATGCGCTCACGCGGCGGTGCACACTCGGCGACCATCCTTAGGCGCAGCAGCAGCAGCAGCAACAGCAGCAGCAGCAGCAGATGGGAGGGCTGGGATGGAGGCCGGGACCGCTCCTGCTGCAAAGCCGCTGTTGAATCAAGGCAATAAACAAACGCACACACTATTGACAAAACTTATTGTAATTTTGTTACAAAGGTCACGGCCAGACAGACGGTCTACACACAGTCCGCCTTCTTCACCTCCCCGGCCGCAACGCCGCCACCAGCCAGCCTTGAAGCGTGGCGCCGCCGCTTGGCATAGCTGCGCTGCAGGCGGTGAGACCAAATCTGCAGCAGGCGGTGGCAGCGGTGTATGTGTATATGTGTGTGTGTGTGTGTGTGTAGTGATGGCACAGCCAGGCCCGATTGATGCAGACCAGGATGTGTGCTGGGGCTTGTGCACAACCCACCTGACCGGCTCAGCGCCAATCCAAGCCAATTCCTTCGGGAACGCCTAATAGAATCGCCAAGGCTTCGGCACAGGCCTCCCCGGGACCCATTCACTACTAGTGGGGGGTACTGCACTTGGCGCGTCGGGCAGATCAAATAATGGTCTAAAGCTAGACGTTAAAACCGGGAAGTTAAGCCTGTGGAGGCTCTTCCCCACCTTTACCTTTACCTTTACCTGAGATACCACCATGCCCAGCAACACACAGCTTCCCATGACGAAACGCCAGGGGCCGGGGATGAGCGAGCTCCTGAAGGCAGGCAGACACGCAGGCAGGCAGGCAGAGACGGTATGTTGTTGTGCGTGTGTAAGCCACTGTGTGGCATGGTTAATCGTGCATGGTGTGTGTGTTAGGTGATAAGATGTGTGAGAGCGAGTGAATGTGTGTGTTGCGAGGCAGGGCAGGCACTGGGCCAGAGTGTGATGACAAGCCTACCAATCCCCACAACAAAAATGCAAGCAGGAGGCGTGCGCCCCTGTGCGTGCCATCCTGATGTGCGCACCTGAACCAGAGTGTAAAAACGAACCAGGCAACCACTGGGGGTGCCATCACGGAGCGTACGCTGACGAAGGCGACTGCAGGGGTGGTGAAACGGAATAAGAGGGTGGTGGATCAGTGACAGTGGTAGTGGCGCTTGGAGAAGAGAGGGAAAGGTGGGCGAGACCGGGCAAGGGCAGGCAGATTGGACAAAGGCACCCACCTGCAAAGAGCAGGGAGGTGAACGTGAAGACCTGGTGGGCTGCCTTGTTGTGGTGGCGCAACTCCTTTGCAATGGTGAAGACGCTGAAGACAGGGGAGGTGACCGTCGCCAGGAAGAACATCATGATGCAGCCGATGGCACCGTGGTGGTGCAGCAGGCAGCTGCGTGGCGGGGAACGGAGGAGAGCGACTCGATACAGGGGATGCAGTGGCCAAAAGTGAATGAGGTATCGGCGTTGGGGCCGGAGCCGTGCAAGCAGGGAGAAGTGCATAAAAATGCACCGCCAGGCCTGCTCCAGCCTGCTGACACGGGCATGGCGTTACAGTCACCCCGCTAGATCCTGCCTCACCCCACGAGGTAGATGGAGGAGATTGTGTGGTGGAGTATGTGTTCATGGTCTGCATGGGGTGTGGTAGGTGATGAGCCCCAACCTACACTATGTTGATGTAGTAATATGTACATGAGGCAATGGGTGGGCGCCACACCCAGGCCGCCACCCACCGTCTGGCTTGAAGGGTAGGAGGAAGAAGAGCATGTCTGCTGCCATGTAGCCCAGAGAGAACTCGTTGAGCAGCTTCTGCAGACGGGGGGCACACTGGTGTGCGTGTGTGTACTGAGTCATACAGTTGTACCACACACACATACATAAGCACAACACACACAGCCCATGGTCCCACCTGCTGCGGCGTGTTGGGCAGGTCGACTCGGAAGGAGGGCCAGGCCAGCAGCTGCTGGTAGCCACCGCGCGGTTCATTCATTCATTCAGCACACAG